TGCTAATTAGTAAGCTTGAACACCTGGGATTTCACTCTGTTTTTTTAAAGTGGATAAAATCTTATCTATCTAATAGGCAATGTGTGGTCACTGTTGATAACACCAACTCACGACCTTTTATAGCGTGTTCAGGCGTTCCTCAAGGAAGCATTTTAGGCCCACTGCTCTTTGTGTTATTCATAAATGACATAAGCAGTTGCTTCTCTTTCGCTAAATACCTATTATATGCTGACGATCTAAAAATATATTCTAATATTCAAAATCGTGATGACATTAATAAGGTTCAGGCAGATATTGATAATCTCCAGGTCTGGTGCTTAAACTCTCACCTCTCCTTAAATATAAAAAAGTGCTTCAAAATAACGTACGCGAAGATACAAAATGTTTTGCCTTCCACCTATATGATTGATGACTCTGTTTTAGATTCTTTAGAAGAAACTAAGGATCTTGGTATCTTCTTTACCTCGAACTTTTCTTTTAATAGCCACATAAGCTTTATTATCGCTAAAGCGTACTCACTTTTGGGCTTTATTAGGCGTAATTGTGCGAAATTTTCGGATCCTTATACTCTTAAATTACTTTATACAGCCTTTGTTCGGTCAAACTTGGAATATGGTGCTATAATATGGAGACCATACCATATTTCCGCAGTAAATAGAATTGAAAGGGTCCAAAAAATATTTCTTAGGTTTGCGCTACGCTTATTAAACTTCTCTGAGCCGATGCCTACTTATAATTCGCGGTTACTTCTAATAAATTTGAAAACGCTGGAGACAAGGCGAGTAATTCTTTCATTATCTTTCTTTTTCAATATTATTAGTGGTGACATTGATTGTACATCTCTTCTCGCTCGGATTAATTTTAACGTCCCGCGGAGGTCTCTGCGTATTGTTGTACCCTTCTATGAACAAATTCTTAGAACTGATTACGCTCGAAATGCTCCCATCGCTCGAGCTATCAATGAACTTAACAGGATCTCGAACTCTGTTTCGTTTGATTTCTCAATATCTAAGTATGAACTTATTAACATATTGAATACAGTTTTGTAATATATTGTTAAGTTTTTACGTTGTTTGTTACATATAGCTCGTAGTCTGTAAGAAACCTGTATTTCATAGACTTGAATAAATAAATAAATAAATAAATAAATAAAAGATTGGTACAGGAAAACTACAATAATAAAAAAACTGTTCTCAACAGCTTCAAGTGTTCGCAGCATAATATTTTGATTTTCAGTATCAAACAGTAGGGTTTTAGCTTTCTTATCCTTCCACACAGACGGGTATATTGCTTCAATTTGTTGTTTTACAGAGGTTCAAAAATTACCAAAAACGAGTTTTTCGACATCTTTAAATTTAAGTTCCTCGAAAACTAGAGCCAATTCAATATCTTTACAGTCAGATTCGGATTCTGCAAGAAAACTCTTAACTGTAATATATTAGTCAACAAAACATTGTTTAAATTTTGTTGACCTGCGTGATTCACATCTGGAAAATAACTAATACAAGTATTTTTATATTTTCTTAACCCACTTCGAAAAAGGATAAAGTTATCAATTCGTCGGAATATGTGTTTTTATGTTTTTGTTTTTTTTTTATGTATGTTACCGCTTTGGACCACGTTAACCGATTTCTATAATTCTTTGTTTAAAGCAGAGGTCGGCAGGCCGTAGCTCACTGAGCGCTCTCTTAGCCAGCGTTGCCGCTTGGGTAATTTTTAACCAAAATTGGTAATTTTTTTCTTTATTTATCAAGTTTGGTAATTTGGTAATTTATTTTTCAATTTGGTAACTTTTTCAATTCGGTTTACATGTCAAATAGGTCAATATTGGTTCTGCTTCCACATTAGTAAGTGGGCCGTAAGCATTCCCTTTAATAGAAATACCAGGTAATCCTGGAAGTTTGGCAAGGCGAAAGTTGTTCCAGCATTCCTTGGCTACTAGAATGGTGTGTTCTTTAACAAACTGCTTGAAAGTGGCTTTTGCTAAGTATATCCACCGTGTCCTTTCTTGGAAGGTTTTGGGTGGTCCTACCTTTCCCTGTCAGTTCGTCAGCTTTTCAATTACAATACGTATGTTCTCGTTCAGAAAGCTACGGCATTCAGCGGGGCTTCACTCTGTCTATGTGTGAGTCGAAAGCTTTCCTTCAAGCGTTGAATTTTTGATATATTTTCTTGTCACTTGTTTACATACAGTGGTCGAAAAAATTATAGCCGTACCATATTTTGACAAGTTTTAACATATTATTTTTTTAGTAACTTAATTTTGGTTATTTTTTATAAAAATATTTTTCTTTCTTTAACAGAGCTCTAACAAATTCAAACTTTGTTCAATATTTAAAAAAATTCAACAAACTTTCGTAAAAATTTTAGGTTAATGGAGCGCTGATTGCCTGAAAAGCTTGGTATCTTTGGATATACATATATATCGAGCCCTAACTGCCAAAATAACGTAAGCTAAATTTTTGTCAAAATTTTCTTTTTTATGCTCTAGGAACATTTCCGCACCAAAAAGAAAAGTAAAAAAAATGTCGGTTACGTTATTATGGCGCTTAGGGCTCGATATGTATGTTTGTACAGTTCTGCACATAAAATAAGTTTGGTAATTTTTTGTTGAATTTGGTAACTTTTTCCGAGGATTTTGGTAAAAAATAAAAAATTTTGTGGCAACACTGCTCTTAGCATATGTGTGTTTCACACTTACACAGTGCATTTAACGCACACAGCCTCGCTTAATGAGTAGTTTGAATGTGTTAGTATGCCGACCACTGGTTTAGGGGAAAGGTATATTACCTCATAGGTGGTCCCATACTAATTTGGTTTAAATCCGACCATTGCATCATGAAGAAATTAACAAATTAACGATAATCTTAAATTTGTATATGAGAATTGAAGTCGGTTTTGTCTTTTACTTAAAAATAGCTTGTTTAACAATCTTATGGCCTTATTCATAAAAAATAAAATAGGTTTTAAGAGCTCTATAAAGTGACATTTTTATACAAATTTTAGATTTATAAAGCGGTTAATGTTTTCTTTATTTGAAGTGAATTTGGGTGTTATAATTTAACACAATTTTACCGAAAATTGCGTCAAATGGCAACACTCGATTGATTTGACGGCAGATTCAGGAAAAAATAAATTTGCTAGTATTGCTCAAGATTATAAGCCGAGTGGAAGTTAATATTATTTGACAACTTTCTTTTAAGTATCGCCAGTTCATATCTAATAACTGCACTGCTTCAATCCAGTGTCGATGTTAATAACTAGATTTTGCGGTAAAAATTATTACAAAGCCTACAATCTTTGTAGGTCAGTCAGTCTAAAGGTTAATGTAATGTCTAATAGAATAACATATCAAGATTGGGCCATAATAAATATAAGCAAGTACTTTTTAACCAAAAAACAAACGGACTTCCATTATCATACAAAAATTTAAGATTATCGTTAATTTCTTTATGATCAAATGATCGGATATAAACCAAATTAGTATGGGACCACCTGTTGAGGTAACACCTTTCCTCTAAAAAAGAATTATAGAAATCGGCTAACGTGGTCCAAAGTTATGCGGTAACGTACATAAAAAAATAAAATAAAAATATTCCTTTTTGTGAAGTCAGTTAAAAGCGAAAGAAATTAATGCAACTATTAATAGCGCAGAGACCTAACCAAAATTATCACAATAAAGGCTGGGTTCCCATTCATGTACACCATAGATCAAGTAGTGGTGGAGACTTATAGTTTAAAAGTAGTTGTTCTTTGATATATTGGCTATCTATGTTGTTTAAAGATACCTGTGTATATCAAAGTGGAGAATTCTGGCTTTTGAGTGATTTTAATACCCAAATACCCCTATATGCGATAGTCGGATAGAATTTTTGAGAAATCGTTTGCTTTCAGGCATATTAAAAATTGTACATATATTACTTACTTACGTATTATAAAAATAGAATATCGTATCCCAAAACTTAAATAAAATTATCTATGATAAACCTACGCTGTCATAACAAGTACCGATAAGTATTAATATTTATACTCATATTTATAAATGTATGTACGTACATATCCATGATAAAAACATTAGAAGGTAAAACCATTCTCTCAATTCGTCGACCATGACCATTTTCTGACGTTTGCAAACATTTTAAAATCATATAAAATTGAAAATAAAAAAATTAAATTGTTCACAATTGTTGTTGTTTGAGATTAAAAATGAGAATGTGTGTGTGAGCCTGAGCTCGAATTTTAAAATTATATTGTTGGCAAACGTCAGACTGCCTCTCAATGATTTTACCTTGTAATGTTTTTATCATGTTCATATCTATATAAAATATGTAAATAGCAGGGCTGTGCGATTATTTGATTTCTCGAGCAAGTTGGTTAATCAATTATTCGGTTAATCAATTACTCGNCATATCTATATAAAATATGTAAATAGCTGGGCTGTGCGATTATTTGATTACTCGAGCAAGTTGGTTAATCAATTATTCGGTTAATCAATTACTCGAGTAATCAAGATTTTGATTACTCAAAACGATGTTTAATGGAGTTACTTGAAATATGATTACTCGAAAAAAAAAATAGTTTTGCTCGTTAAAAGAGTTTCCTTTGGAAAATGCTTATTTTATTTTATACATTCTGTATATGAAAAAAATTTTTCGTTTTAATTTTTGAAAACAGAAACGTTGTTTTCAAAGTATCAAGGAATTTTAACTACTTTATACATATGTAAAGAGTTGAAATGTCGATTACTCATTTTACTCGAAATGTTGATTAATCATAAAGCAAATTACTCAAATATTTTTTTTTTTTTAATCAAAAATCTTGATTACTCAAGTAAGTGAACTTCTGAGTAATCATAATTTCCAATTAATCGATTAAGTAATTGAGTTATTTACTTTGTGATTAATTAAAATTTTGAGTAATCAATTAATCGCACAGCCCTAGTAAGTAGGTACTGAAATATTTTGATTTTCAAAAATTCCAAATTTATTATAAGTGTTCACATCTGCTTGGTTATAGGGTTTATAATTTTGATTCAGCTTACAATAATAAAATTATGCTGGAAAATAAGTAATCTTTAATCAGATAAATGAGGTAACCATGTAGTTGTGAGTAATGCAGTATTTTGCTGAATTAGTTAAACCTAAATAAATATCAATTTGCATATAACATACCTATTCATAAATATATATACATATTTAATAACATAAGCATGAGTATAAATAAGGTGATGTACAAAATTTTAAATTAAAGTTGGTATAGAATTGTTCAGGTGTTTCTGTTTTTAACAGATCCTTTTTGAAATTGAATTCCCCATTAAAAAAAAGGAAAACAACAATAAGTAAATAAATAAATCAAATAAGTAAAGCATAGCGAAAGAGACAACAAACCAATGAGACGTATGCGAATTATCGGAATAATCTTCAATCGATTTTAAACATTCCAATATCGGATGTACATACGTACATTAGTACCGCAATGTGTTTCAAATGATTATGTTTGGCTAAAATGGCACACGGAGTTGCTATGTTGAAATTTTTTGTTGATATTATTAGTAAATGCAAGTGAGTGTGTGTGTATTCCACAATATTTAAATACTTAAATTAAGTGTGTGCGAGCAAAGAACGTAATTAGCCACAAATGTAAAAAAAAAATGTTCAAGAGTGTGTTTTGTAGAGGGTAAGTTAGTAAAAAGAATTGGACAAAACGAGCAGACTCACCGTCGTAATCGTATTCGGCTGACTGGGGCGCCAGCATATGCGCTTGGATCTCTTCTTCGGAGCTGCTAAAGGAACGTTGCTGCGGCGGACCGTACTGACCGCCGACCATCGGTTGCCGCCGCTGTTGTGGCTGCGGATAAGTGGCAGTATCCATGGCATGGCCTCCACTGATGGTTAGATTTCGCGACAATGGTGCTGGCTTCTGATAAGACCCCCCTCCCATTGGGGGTGCGGGTAACTGTGCAGTTTGTGGATTGTAGGAGTGTTGATGGGGAAGCCTTTGTTGTTGTTGATGTGGTTGTGGCTGCTGAGCTGCATGCTGCTGGTGCTGCTGATGTGGATGTTGTTGCTGCGCCATACTGGCGGATGTTGGCGTCGGCAGTTGCTGGTGTGGCTGCGTTTGGGCACGCAGCGGCTGCGGCTGATGTTGTTGTGGGTGTTGCTGCTGTTGCATATGTTGCTGATGTGGTGGCAACGCGCGTGATTGTGGCCCATGGTGTTGTGGTTGCTGTTGTTGTTGCGGCTGTTGCTTTTGTTGTTGATGCTGATAGTGCGCTTGCTGTCCAAGTGGTTGTTGTTGTGGTTGTTGCAGATAGCTTTGTTGTTGTTGCTGCTGTTGCTTCTGCAGCTGGCTAGGATGCGCAAGATGCGGATGTTGTCGCATCAAACCATCCAGCTCACCCTAGAAGCAGAAAAAAAGATAAATATTATTTAATAAAATTAAATGCTGAAAAAAACCACCGCTATCTACCTGATAATAACGCGGATCATCTTCCGGGTATGGACGCTGACCTGCACTAAATTGTTGGCCGCCTTGTGTTCCGTAGTGCTGTTGCATCTGCTGCTGCTGATTCACGGGCCGTTGACGTTGCTGTCCTGGGCTGACGTCCACACCACTATCGGAAGCCGACATGCGCCGATTTGTAGGCACTTCCTGTTGTGAGTATTGGCGGCGGAGCACGCTGCCGGTCCGTTGCATTGGCAGGTTCTCTTTTTCAGCGGCACTGCGCGTTCGTTCTAATTTCGGGCGCTTGTCGAGCGTGTCATGCGGGTCGACAATGGCCTGTTGCGAAATGTCCTATGAAGTTATATAAAAATATATAAATATATAAGTAGGCATATAAATACATATAATGGTTAAAAAGGATTTTTGAATGGATGGTAAAAAAAGCTTTTTCACTTACACTACTGCCATCAGGCTCAATGCGTCGCAGGAAGCTATCTTGTTGTTGACCCTTGTTCATCCATTGTCCAGTCTTAGAAAGTAGTTCCTGCTTTTTGCGGCAAAGTATACAAACCCAAATTACCTACAAGAAAATTAAAACACGGCTTTATTTTCATCCACAAATCCAGATTTGGGAACTTTCTACGCAGCAAGCTTGGCACCTTACGTTTTTTTCTTAATTTTTCATTGAGTGTATACCATAAGGATAAAATAAATATCGTCGATGCCCTTGCAAAACCGCCTATCTTTCGGCACTCAAATTTTACAGAAGATAAAAACATTATTACTATTGTTTTACAAATCTGTTGTTTTAATAACGATTTTTAAGCATAATCTCCATGCCTGGAGTTCAGGGTTACCAAGTTCATAAAATTCTAAGAAAAAAATTCCTCCAAACCATAGCTCTAAAGTCAATTTCGAGCCTGCGCATTTTTTATAGAAAATGTCTTATATATAAAAATGAATTGCTGTCCGTTAGCCTCGCTAAGACTCGAAAACGGCTTGACCGATTTGAATGTTTTTATTTTTTTAGGTTTGTTTTTATAATATCCGGATGGTTAAAACCAGAACAAAATAGAGAGTTGCCACCTGTTTAAAAATTTCAGTATAAGGTTTGAGAAGGACTACCGAAAATATTTTTGAGTCGAGTTGCCACCAATTTTGAAAATTTAATTCAATTAAGTTATTAGGATAAAGTTTGTATTATAATATAGGTGTCCAACGAAAAGTATTTGAACAATTATTGATTAAGAAATATTTTCTATAGGCCTGCCACCTACCTGAGCGGTAAAAACTAAAGGCCATACTCGCAAATATTATTCAAAGCTTTTGAGGCTCGCAACTATGTGGAATACTGTAAATCCGTCAAGTTAGTGTTTATTGATGGCAAACAAAGTACTACCATGTTTAGCAATGATATCACCCCATCGAACAATGCACTTAGCCTCGATATAAAATGAGAGCAAAAGCCGAAGTATTAGCCGAAGCAGTTCATACCAATATTCCACAATTGAACTAACAAAATAATGTGGCCTACGACTCTTTTATAGAAGCTGTGGACACTGGAGTAAATTTTAAACAAACAACAAAATCGACTTCAATTCTCATATACAAATTTAAGAGTACCGTTATTTTCTTCATGGCCCAATTATTGGATCTACACTCAATTAGTAGGAGACTATCTCTGAGGAACCACCTTTCCTTTAAAAAAGAATCCAAAGTTATGCGGTAACGTACATAAAAACAAGTAAGAAAGTCTAAGTTCGGCCGGAGCCGAACATTAAGTACCCGTCGCAAGTATTAAATATATTTTTTTCACCTTTCCGAAACCTACCGCTAGATGGTAAACCGGGGTGTATCAATTTGAGTAAATTAGCGTCCTTAAATTTCAAAATATTGCAGTTTCAAGCATTTCTGAAATTTACCGTTATATGAAAAGCGGCCGTAATTTTGGTCCGATTTCAATAATCATCATAAGTGGTCCACGCCCATTTTCCAAAATTTTACCATTAACGTATTTCTTGGTAAAGAATTGTTGCAAGCATCAATTTTGATTAAATCAGCTTTAATATTTACCGATTTATCGAAGATTTTGCATTTCTCTAAATTACCGTTATATGGGATGTGGGCGTGGCTATTGTCCGATTTTAAAAATTTTCGGCCGTTTAGTATGCTGTATCAAGGCCAACACAGTGCCAAATTTGGAAGAAATTGGTGCGGCGGTTACCAAGATATACACATTTATTTATTTATTTTTCGTCTGAAAATTATTGTAAATATCAATTTTGAGTTACTAATCTTCAGTAGTTACTAAAATATCGCAGTTTTCGTATTTCTGAAAATTACCGTTATATGGGAAGTGGGCGTGGTTACAGTCTGATCGATCTCGATTCGTTTTGGCTGTTACATACAACCGTTATGTGAGCAAAATTAATATACCCTTGTGCACAAGTACGCTCGGGTATACAAAAACTTCCGACAAATTAATAAAATATGCAGATTAATATTTAGTAAAGTGTTACGGATATATATTTTTTTTAATACAAAACTGTGATTGGGAGTTTATTGATACGAAAAAGTAATTTCTGCTATCTGTATTTTATTTAAAGAACCGCAAGATTGCACTACAAAGCAAATTACATATTTTTTTACTATTGTAACGGGAGAAGTTACTGTATGTATTTTTTTATATGTACAGTGTCGAACAAAAGTTTTGGCACAGTAAATTTTCGCATGACATATATGCAAAGCTTTTAATTTATTTCCGATAATTTTTTATAAAAACATAGTTCATACTACACCAAAACACACAAAAATCAAATGTGTAAACTTTGTGCAAAACTCAGGAAAATTCAATAAATCTGCATACTAATTTGCAATTTTATATTCAGATTTTCAAGGAACTTCAAACTTGCACTTTGATAATCTAAAATTGAATGGGTTAATAAACTGGAATTTTTCTAATAAATACGTTGCCTATATTGCGAAAAATTCACTGTGCCAATACTTTTGTTCGTTACTTTAAGTAAATAAAACTTTGACTTAAAAAAACCAAAAAAATAAAAATAAAATTTTACAATATTTCAAGATTATTTTTCGTGTCATACATTATATACTATTTATATTTTTATACTATTTATATTTTTTTTTTGGTTTTAGATCCTTTTTGCTTTCAACACGAGGTATCTTTTTTCTACTTTCTATTGTCATAGTCATAACTCCCTCTCTATTTTTATCAATCAATCAATCAATTTTATAATTTTGTCGGCAGTTTTTCTAATTACAAGTAGTGCTTTATAAAATTTTTATAATACCAAATGTTTATCAAGCTTAGGTCTTTGTGTTATCCTGGCAGGCTTATTATTTTAACCAGAGAATATGTTTTCTTTATTAAGCTACCCATATAAAAATAGGGGACTTCACTTTATATAATTGGTATAGATAATAAGTATACGTAAATAGCCAATACCCGATTGCTTTGCGGCGCCTTAAAACACATTTTCAACTGTAAAACAATCATTCAATTCTATTCTATGTATATCTATAATATGTGTACCGAATTTAAAGAAAAACGGACCATATATCCGTCCATATGTACCTATCAGAAAAAAGTATCCTATATGTTAATCCGGGCAATAAGCTACCTATGCCCAAAATTTCAAGCAAATCAGACCATAAAGAAGATTTTTTTTCGAATAGATCGGTCCCTGGTCCACCTATCTGAAAAAGTATCCTATATTTTAATTCAGGCAAAAAGCTACCTACGTACTAAATTTGAAGCAAATCTGGCCATAACTAAATTTTATTTTAAATAGATCGGTCCCTGGTCCCCTTACCGGAAAAAAGATCCAATATGCTAATCTAGGCAAAAAGCTACCTACCTATAAAATTTCAAGCAAATCGGACGATAAATACGATTTTTTCGAATCGATCGGTCCCTGGTCCACCTACCGGAAAAAAGTATCCTATATGTTAATCGAGGCAAAAAGCGACCTACGTACCAAATTCTAAGCAAATCGGGCCATAAATACGATTTTTTCAAATAGATCGGTCCCTGGTCCACTTACCGCAAAAAAAGATTATATATGCTAATCTAGGCAAAAGCCTACTTACGCACCCAATTTAAACCAAATCGGACCATAAATACGACTTTTTCGAATAGATCTGTCCCTGGTCCACCTACCGGAAAAAGTAGTTTTTTTGTGGCTTTAAACATAGCGGCTGCCGAAAGCTATTTATATACAAAACTTCATGAAAATCGGACCAGGCGTTCGCGAGATTACCTGTTACAAATAAAAAGGGACTTCTCTTTATATAATTAGTATAGATATAGATTGGCGTTCTTTGACATACATACATATAAACATACATACGTGTTTTGCGCTAGAGAGTATGCGCAAGCAAGAACTTTTGTTTTTGTCAAACTCTTCAGAATAGCAAGTGCGTCGTCGCCGAAGCATGCATACTGGTTCATTAGGAACAAAAGAATATCTTATGAAGTAAAGCCTTTTCTTGGAATATATGAATTACACTATATATTAAAACGAACTGATGAATACATTTTAGGCTGTTTCTGATTGTCGCAAAAAAAACTTGCCTAGTTACGAATTCGCCCCTTGATATGGAGGTTGCTAGGCTAAACCTACGTACCAAACTTTAATCAAATCGGACCATAAATATGATTTTTCGAATAGATCGGTGCCTGGTCCACTTCCCGAAAAAAAGGAATCATATATGCTAATCTTGGCAGAAAACTACCTACGTACCAGATTTTAAGCAAATCGAACCATAAATACGATTTTTTCGAATAGATCGGTCCCTTGTCTACTTCCCGGAAAAGAGGATCCTATATGCTAACCTAGGCAAAAAGCTACCTACGTACCGAATTTTAAGCAAATCGGACCATAAATACGATTTTTCCGAATAGATCGGTCCCTGGTCCACTTCCCGGAAAAAAGGATCCTATAAGCTAACCTAGGCAAAACGCTACCTACGTACCAACTTTTAAGCAAATCGGACCATAATAAGATTTTTTGGAATAAATCAATCCCTGGTCCACCTACCGGAAAAAGTAAATTTTTTAGCCTAAAACATGGTGGTTGCTGAAAGCTATTTATATACAAAATTTCATTAAAATCGGGCCAGCCGTGTATTTCAAATTTCGAGTTCATGTGACTATAATTCCGAAGTTAGAGCTGATTAAAAATTTTCACTATGGGAGGTATCCCCCATCCCCCCTTGGCAAGTTCAATTTTTTACCATATTTAGGTCCAGGAGTCATGGCAATACTTTTGCAAAATTGTATTCGATTCTGTCCATCCGTTTAGGCTGGAACCTGGTACATACATACATACATACTTCGACAAATATATAGTAGATTTGCTTTGAAGCGCCATCTTGCGGCTCTTTAAATAAAAAATAGATATCAGAAATGAGTTTTTCATACTACAAAACTCCGGAGCACAACTCTATAAAAGAAACATTCCTAACACTTTAGTAAATATTAATCTGATTATGGACTTAGTATTAAAATTGCGCAGGCTTGAAATTGATTTAGAGCTATGGCCTAAAGGGATTTTTTTCTTAGAATTGTAGAATGCGAATCTGCTACGAACGATGTCGAAAAAAATTACATTTAAAAAAATTGTAACAGGCCGATATCCGTATATTATAGATATTAAGAAAAATTAATATGGGGGTCTTTATTAAAGCAATAGAAACTAAATCAACCATTTTTACAATTTTTTTCTATCTGTATCTTTGTACGCGCATCTGTTGAAAACTAATACATGGAATTGAATGCAGTTTTCATCGATGTATTGCTAGAGGTCTAACTTAAAATACAGAAAGAAAAAAATAGAGAGTTGCTTCCTGTTTGAAAACTGCAGTTTATGTAAATTGATACGATAAAGTAAATATTGCAATATGACTGTCAAAAGAAAGAGGTTTAAGAAGGCTTACAGCCGAAAACAGTTTTATTGAAGGTTGTCACCTGTTTGAAAATGTTAATTTCATTTAATTGATAAGATAAATTGAATATTGGAATATTGGAATATGGGTATCAAACTGAAGAGGTTTAGGAAAGTGTACTGCCGAAAATATTTTTGAGGAGGGTTACCACCTGTTTGAAAAGTTATATTAAATTAAATTGATAAAAGCACTAATTACGTTTAAGGCACAGTGAAGCACGCCGGGATTTGCTAGTTTGTTTACAGAAATATAGCTTGTTCTTTAAACCGTATAAACCCAAGTTTCTATCTTTGTGAAACATTTAAAGAATAAATCAACACACGTTCGTAAATGTCGAGCTTTTTAATTAACAAAAAAAATCTAAAAATCATCGGAAAGTCCCACCCACTTTAAACTTGCACTTTATTATACCAGTCTTTAATGGGCTGCAAAACTGTATACTCAAGATATTTATAAGAAATCTTATTAAAAAGGAACGAAAGTACGAAAGTTTGTCGACTTTTTTTAGTTTCACTAAGATTGAAACTTGGGTATATTTTTCGGTAAACAAAAATCCTAGAGGGTGAGAGCATTAAAATTCTAACTTAACTTTTTTTAGCACCCTAATGTAAAGATGTATATGTATACATACATATATGTAAGTACCCTGCAGGAAATTTAATTAATTTGAAACTAATTTGTAACCTAATTTATTTTGAATGATATCTAATTGAAATTCTCACTATTTTACCTGCAACGAACTCATTTATTTAACATAGCTATGTCCTAGGAAGCAGTCAGTTGCCTTTTCTTGCATGTATTTTCAACTACTTTAAAATGTATTTCGCTTAAACAACTTCAAAGTCAGTATATTTCGTTTGAATACGCTTTCGTTCTGCACTTCACAGATGCTTTTTCATAACTAAGAAAAACCGANCATACATATATGTAAGTACCCTGCAGGAAATTTAATTAATTTGAAACTAATTTGTAACCTAATTTATTTTGAATGATATCTAATTGAAATTCTCACTATTTTACCTGCAACGAACTCATTTATTTAACATAGCTATGTCCTAGGAAGCAGTCAGTTGCCTTTTCTTGCATGTATTTTCAACTACTTTAAAATGTATTTCGCTTAAACAACTTCATAGTCAGTATATTTCGTTTGAATACGCTTTCGTTCTGCACTTCACAGATGCTTTTTCATAACTAAGAAAAACCGAAATTAAAAATTNTATACATATATGTAAGTACCCTGCAGGAAATTTGATTAATTTGAAAGTAATTTGTAACCTAATTTATTTTGAATGATACCTAATTGAAATTCTCACTATTTTACCTGCAACGAACTCATTTATTTAACATAGCTATGTCCTAGGAAGCAGTCAGTTGCCTTTTTTTGCATGTATTTTCAACTACTTTAAAATGTATTTCGCTTAAACAACTTCATAGTCAGTATATTTCGTTTGAATACGCTTTCGTTCTGCACTTCACAGATGCTTTTTCATAACTAAGAAAAACCGAAATTAAAAATTTAAAATTAATTAAAATGAGACTTGAACATGGACATTCTTGGCTGCGACCAATTGTAGCAAACATCTTTGCACGCTCAGCTACATACAGGCATGTAAATGTGCTTTCAAATGTTCAGTTTGAATTGTGTGCAAGCTGCAAGTCGACTGTCCGACTCTGCATTTAATTTCAATTACTTTAAAATGAATTTGGTTTAAACAACTTCAAGGTCAGTATGTTTCCTTTAAATGCGATTGCGTTCTGCACTTCACATATGCTTTTTCATACTTCCAAGGCACAAATTGTTTCTTTGAATAGAAATAGTATCAAAACTCGAAACATTTACCCATTACATTCTTTTTAAAGTAGTCTTTCAATTAGTTGATTTTAAAAAAAAATCACTTGCTTCCGTCAGGGTAGCTAATACAAAAACAAAACTNAGTCAGTATGTTTCCTTTAAATACGATTGCGTTCTGCACTTCACATATGCTTTTCATACTTCCAAGGCACAAATTGTTTCTTTGAATAGAAATAGTATCAAAACTCGAAACATTTACCCATTACACTCTTTTTAAAGTAGTCTTTCAATTAGTTGATTTAAAAAAAAAATCACTTGCTTCCGTCAGGGTAGCTAATACAAAAACAAAACTTACAAATCAGCTTAAAAATTGGCAATGTGGGCATTAATGTCTACTTATTCTTTAAATGTCACTCATGGAAATTTGTTTCAGCAGGTTTGNTTACAAATCAGCTTAAAAATTGGCAATGTGGGCATTAATGTCTACTTATTCTTTAAATGTCACTCATGGAAATTTGTTTCAGCAGGTTTGGGCTGTCTTCTCAAAGTTTCACTCAGTGTCAAGCTAATAATTCTTCAGCCACTCATTTCTTCAAGCACTCACCTTGTTGCTGCGAAGTGTCACTTTTCCGCCACAACGCGCACAGCACACAATGTTGCAGTAGTGGCAAATATGTCCGATTCCATCGGCGAATTTCGTCTGAAGGCAAATGTGGCATATTGCACCCAACTCGATGCCTGATTTCTTCTGCTCCTCTGAGCGCTGACGTATTTGCATCTCCAGCGAGACGACTTCGTCTTGCTTGCGTCTAAAAGTATATTTAAATAAATATATAAATAGGTACATATGCAAGTATACTACATATATGTGAAATAAAATGAC